TATGCCCATATCTTGAATACTGCATGCAGATCTGGTCACTCCATCTAAAAAAATATATATTGGATTTGGAAAGAGTACGGAAAAGGCACCAGAAACGATTATGGATAAGGAACAGCTTCCATATGAAGAGAGATTAACAACACTGGGACTTTTCAGCTTGGAAAAGGACTGACTGAAGGGTGTGAGGATATGTTAGAGGGCTAGAAAATCATGAATGGTGTGGAAAAATAGAATAAGGAAATGCTATTCATTCCCTCACTAACATAACACAAGATGCTGTCCCAAATAAATTTATAGGCATCAGATATAAAACAAACAAAATAGGTGATAGGGGATGGATCATGACGATTGCCTCTTCTGTTTATTCCTTCTGAAGCATCTGGCTTTGGCCACTGTTGGAAGACAGGATACAGGGCTAGAAGGACCATTGGTCTGATCCTGTATGGCCATTCTGATGTTCTTATATGGAGCTTAAATATATCTGCCCTCTGCTGTAACCCACTAGACAACACTCCCCGAGCTGAGACAGAGCCCAGGAATCCTGACAGGGTCTCTCTCTCTCACTACAGAGTTAGTAAGAATATATATTCAAATGTTAAGGCTAACCAGTGTCCCTTAAGTGACTTGCCACAAGATTTCAGAACTTGCTAGTGTTAGAGCTGAGTGGGTCTAAAATTTACTTAATTTTCTTTTTTAATATAGGAATTAGATACAGTGCTCCGTATAGCTAACTGGTAAGTTGTCTGCCAAAATATTATATACAGATATAGATACAGATGAGAGAGAGAGAGAGAGAGAGAGAGAGAGAGAGAGAGAAAGAGAGTTTTTCAGTGACTTTGTAGCCCCTGGATAGAGATGACGTGTGTGTGTGTGTGTGTGTGGGAGTGAGGGCGGATTGGGTTGGCTACCCCCCACCCCTGCCACATTTGGTGCTTGGCTTGTACTGAGCATGATCAGTAACACTGCTGAAGCCTCTGTCCTCAGTCCACCCCCCTCATGTTCTCATTGTCTCCCCCGCCATAACAGCATACACAGGTCGCCCGCCCACTCCGCCGTAAAATCAGAAATGGCGTCCCTGCTGGGGAGGTTGTGGACTCTCCATCACTGGAGATTTTTTTAAGAGTAGGTTAGACAGACATTCATCCAGGATGCTCTAGATGGTGCTTGGTCCTGCCATGAGGGCAGAGGACTGGACTTGATGACCTTTCAAGATCCCTTCCAGTTTTAGTGTTCTATGATTCTATGTCATATTGTTCATACTTAGATTGCCAGGGTACCTGATCCAAACTTCACATCTACTCTTCCCCCTTGAGAATGTATGTCAGCTCTCTTTCTAGCGGTCTTCTTTCTAGCGGTCTTGTTTCTTCAACCCAGGAATCTTATTACGTCTGGTAGGACTCTGACTTCCCAGCCATGCAGAAGCTTGAAAGAAAAGGGCTAGGATTTTTATATGTGCCGTTCTTATTCAACTGATCCCAGATTCCTTATCGAGGAACCATGCTAATTAAAATCCTGGCCACTAATAGCACCCTCTGAAATTCCTACCCAGGAAGTGGGCTGTCTGAAAGCAGCTACCACCTGGTGGCCTTTTGTGTTCCCCTCAATAAGCACTGATTCATCATAGCATGTGGCAGCTGCAGAGAAGCAGGCTGAAGTTAGATCCCATTTTTCTGGATGCTAGTTCCTGTCGCCCCCTCCCCCCCCCCCAATAGATCCACCG